TAGGCCGCCGTCAGTCCTTGGAAGGAGACTCTCCGGCACCGTCATCTCCTTCCCGAAGCGGGCCGAGCCGCCCTCCCGGGTCGCCTTGAAGAAGGAAGGGGCTTGGACGTACAGAAACAGGACGGGGTGGTTTCAGGGGTGCTTGGGGCCGGCCGGGAGCCCTGTCGTCTTGGGAAGTGTCTGAGGAGTTTCGGATGGGTTTCATGCCCCTGTCAGGGCGATGAGAGTAAAGCCTTTGCGATGCTGAAAAGTTGCTGCTTAAATCTGCAGCTGGTGCGACCCCAGGGGATGAATTAACCTTATTTAAATTAAACTTCCTGAAGTTTCTGAATGTGGGAGTCGTATGGCTTGTAAGGAGCTGGGGGTGATGGGAGGAGGGAAGGCGCCGAGGGGAACAGCCTGAGGGAAGGTGGGTCTGCCTTTGACACATGCACGGATGCTTTGCAGCATTGCTCAGATGGCTCCTGCAAAGAAGGGTGGCGAGAAGAAGAAGGGACGCTCTGCCATCAATGAGGTGGTAACTAGGGAATATACCATCAACATTCACAAGCGGATCCATGGCGTGTAAGTTCTTGGTTTTTATCAGTGAAATTGGCTTAGGTAAAGTGGTGTTTGGAAATGGGTTCGGTAGCTTTTGAACTGCAGCGAATGACAGCCCTTAGTGGCACCAACACTAGTGCATGATGTTGTAGTCCCTTGCGCTACAGTTGTGTCCCAAGGAAGCAGCTCTGTACCTGTGTAGACCTGTACTTGCAGGTGGCTTTCAGGAACAAGCTTGTTTATTTTTTTTGTGAGCGTTCCTGGATGTAATTTGAAGTTGGAGCTGTTCACCTCTGTGCACAGATCACCATTCTTTCCCAAGAAAAGTTTAAAATTCATCCTGCTATAGTAAGTTTTAGAAATTAAATATTGTTGTAATCGAATTACTGAACCCATGCTTGTCACTAAATGTGTGAGGGGTAAATTGGAGTGTGATATGAGTTAACCAATATTAGTTGTGTGTAGATGGGAGTAACTTTACCTGAAAAAATGTTGAACCTTCTACAGCCATGTAGTAGTAAAGTGCTTGAGAGGGCTTGTTGAGAAACTGCGTCTCCCTTTGATTCTCTCTATGTGCGTGGCTGCAGTCACATGGAATAAAGCTATATCTGAATTCAAACAATTGGTGAAATTGCTGGAATTAACTTAGGAGAGAAATGAAACAGGGGACTTGTTGCAAAACTGTGGGTGAGGATGGGGGCCAGTGGTACCTTTAAATGGCAATAAAGTGTTCTGGCTTTGCCTGCTGATTGTCTATGGCAATTCCGTTTGTTCTTAATTATGATGATCCTGCTATCCTCTTTTGGGGTTATCCTCTTTTTCTCTTTAGGGATGAATCAGGGGGGACATAGGTTTTGTTTAACACTTGTCTCTCTTGTAATCGCTCACCCACCCCCAATTTCTAGCACTAAATATCAACAGTAGTGTACAGGTAATACTAAATATAACCCAGTGTGGGACTTCAGACCCTACTGACATTATAGTCACCTGTCACAAGGTGGGTATAACATCTACAGCAAAGCACTCACGGTGCAGCTGTGACTTTCAGTGTAAATGGCCAGTCATGCAGAACCTGTCCGTAAGAGGCATGAGACAAGCTCTATGTGTAAAAACCAGTTCTAATGGTGGTCCAGTCCTGATGGCATGCAGCAAGTAACCATCAAACACAGTTCAGCAGAAGCTGCTACTCAGAATAGCGTCAGTTTTGTTCTTCTACTGTTTATTTCAATACTGACCAGTTCTGTCAAGTTTGTATTCCCATTGTTGCACTGCTTCTTTCATAGGCCTTTTGTTTAGAGTCTCTGTGAAAGCTCTGATCTCTTCAGTAATACTGCAAGAAGTTTTCAGGTCAATGCGTTATAAATCAGACTTAAGATCCAGGAGATCTTGGCAGTTGCAAAATTTTACTGAAATTATTCAACATAACTATATGTGGTTTCTACTAGGCATGGGCATTAAGATTAGCAGCTGCCTACCAGAGTAAAGGTCTGGTCATGTTATGGTGCTGCGACTGAGCTGCTGTTGAACACAATTCTTTCGATTGTATGTCTGGAGAACGTCAGTGGTTGAGTGCTGCAACAAGTGTCTGATGTTGACAGTTTCCTGAAGTTAAAGAAATTGCTCTTGTGTTTGTCCTAGGGGCTTCAAGAAACGAGCACCGCGTGCTCTCAAGGAAATCCGTAAATTTGCGATGAAGGAAATGGGTACTCCTGATGTTCGCATTGACACCAGATTGAACAAAGCAGTCTGGGCTAAAGGAATAAGGTAGGTTTCTCTACCTTTCCGTATTGGGTAAGGAAGAACCTTTTACATCTGTGTGTGGAGGTGCAGAAAAATGCGTATCTTCCTTGCAGTATTTTCGTTTTCTTTGCAAGTTCTTCCTTTCTTCCAATGTGCGTGCCAAGGTAATCTTTGTCACCTCTGTGTTCTGGTCAGCTCCCTCAGTGTACTTGCGGCAAAGCTTTGGTAACCTGGAATTGAAAGAACGTTGTTCTACCTCTAATAAGGCAAAGGAAAGAAGGAATGCAGGTTGGGAGCAGCAGGGGCAGGATTGGGGTATTGCAATACTGTAGTACCCCAATTCCTATTGTAGCAGACAGGTTTTAGAAACGTGGCTTTGCAGCACTACCCACGTTCCCGGGCTAAGCACGTGGGATTTGTGCAATGTGTCTGAGCGGGATTAGGTTTCAAGGCATGCTGAATTGCTAAACGCCACACAAAGAAATAACAAGGTGTCTTTTCAATAGTGCCATTCATCTTGTCTTGAAAGTACAAGTAGTTTGGGGGCCAGAAAACGACAGCTTCTGTTAGATCACTGCTACAGAGGCAGCTGATTTGGTGTTTGACATGTGTGAAGATGGTCCAAAGGGACTCCTTGGAGGAGTGGGACCTCTTAAACCATAATAAAAGGTTAACTGGTAGGGATTAATACTGTGAGTGATACACTGGATACGCATGAACCGCGTCTTGTAGGAATTAGATTCCTGAGCCTATGACATAGTTACAGTGCTTTACCTGGAGTTGGGTGCTTAGGCCAACCCTTCCTTCAGAAACAGTGGGAAGATGGGACTAAGTTACTGGGTCTTCTGGGCAGGGGTTCTCTGTCCTTCCTGTGGAGCTGTTCCAGTGGGTATACAGTGAAGAAGCGGCAATGGAGCCAGGTGACAGCGTAACTTTAGAGCTTAGTAGTGAGGCTACTAACCAAGACTTCCATATATTAACTGGTGGAAGGGCATTCTGTGGAGCAGGGGGTCATCACATCTGTCTCCCCACTGTGAGTTTAACTGCAGTTTTCACTAGTTAGAGTAGATAATGTATGCAAAGTAAAATACCTTCCTCTGGAAGGATCAGGAAAGGCTAAAATCACTGTGTCAGCTAGTGTGATAGTTAGTGATCTACGTAGTAAAAAATGCTTTTGATATGTTTCAAGAAGGGAGTAAATTGAAGCAAGTTCCTCTGTCTTAATTACTGCATCCCTCTGATTTACTAAGTGTGCTCTGAGAATGTATAGCAAGGAGGAAGCTCCGTCTCACCATCTGTGGAAATGAGTACTCTGGAGTTTCCCAAAATCCTGAGTTCATTTGAGGTGGGAGGTTACTTCAAAAATGGTGTGGACAAATAATTTTGTGCCTTCCCTCAGCAGCATATTTTGGGCATTATTAGGGGAGGATGCTAAGCTGTGACATGTCTATTAAGAACAACATCATCTAAGCAATGTAGTTGTGGTTCCATGGGCTTTGTGAGGAAGAAATGTTGATCAGTGGTATGCCCAGAAACAAGATCTTGGTTCAGGTCTAATGCTCGCTAGAACTTCCACATGAGTTCTGGCAAACAGATTGGGCAGCACTCTTGACAGGGGCCTCAGGCTTTCAGAACAGATTTTTGGGGGGGGGTTTCCTCACAATTTTCTATTCAAGTAAGAAAAGCTTGTTAGTAACAGCTGCTCGCTGATCATATTCACTCTGCGCTTCATGGTCTTTTTCATAGTGTGGTGGACTGATGGTGCACTTGTGACTTGATGCTCCCGCTGGCTTACGGATTCATCTTACTCAAGGCTCAGTTAAATCTTACCTGCTCACTTCTAACAAACCAAAACGCTTCTCTAAGGCAAACAGTATAACCTCCAAGGTACAAGATTTCGCTCTTGTTATGATGCCAAGAGAGAAGCAGAATTGACTCAACTTGTCTTTGCACAAGCTTAAGATAATCTGAAGTGGGGCTAGTAATCATGGAGCGGGGCTAGTAATCATGGAGCACAGAACTTAACTTTTCTATGAATTAACAGGTTTTAGTATGTATCTTATTGAAAAATAATCCGTCGTCTCCATTTTAGGAATGTTCCTTACCGTATCCGTGTGCGCTTGTCGAGAAAGCGCAATGAGGATGAGGATTCACCAAACAAGCTCTACACACTGGTTACCTATGTGCCAGTCACGACATTCAAAGGTAAGGTTGCGTGCTGTCCCTCTTCCTCCGCGCCATGTTTTTCTGAGCAAGTAGTAAAGTGGGACAGCTTCTCCTGTGATGCGAAATTCGGATGAAGACCATACTGAAGGGGTCAAACTACTGGCTTAAACTAGCTCTGCTGTTGAGAACTGGGCTGCTAGCTTGCCTGGTCAGCATTAAAAAGCAAATACAGAATTTAGTGAAGTAATCCTGTAAATTTTAAGAGAATAAAAAACACTGGCTGCAGTTGTTAGGGTAGTTTAAGGTTTGTGCTTTCCTGTATGAAGTACATCCTCTGATGTCAAAAGCTGAAGCTTGAGCCTTTTCTGCTTGTCATTTGGGAAGTATCTTATCTACAGAACTGATGTAACATTTGGTGAAACACCTGCCTATGGAGTTCAGAAGTAGATCAAGCAAACTCACTGTGAAAGTGTAGGTGCACTTCCTTGTAAATAGACATAGACTGCGTATACATAAAGGGAATTGTCCTCATAATAGGTGGTGATACAATTTCTTTTTTTGCAGGTCTACAGACAGTCAACGTGGATGAAAATTAAACTGATTTTCATTACAATAAAAGGATAAAAAGAAAGTTTACTCCTAAGTTGGTTTTTTTTTTTTTTATTGTCCAGTCACTGCAAGCTGTCATCTGTGCAGCGTTGAGTTGAATAGGTGACAAACTTTTGAAGTACCTCGCTTTCTTTGGGCTTGTACATAACAGTGTCATTTTCTTAATTAAAGGTACCTTAGACTTCTGTTGGATGTGAATGGAATAAGGAGGCGATGTGAATGTTCCCATGTGGGTGGCAAAGTCCTAGTCCTCCTGTTTTGTTCCTGTGGGAATAAAGAGCCACTACACAGGTATTTTAGGTTAAGTTTTTTTAAACTGTTATTTTAATACTTCATATATGTAATCTCTTGTGGAGAAAGTAAATTCCCCGGATTTGGTCCCCCGCTGGCCTCCTAGGCAGAACCGGTAGGCTTCTCCCAAGCGAGTCTATGCACTAGGCTGCAAGGGGGTTCTTCTGCCCAGTGAATTAATTGTGAGCGCACTAGCTCAGGGAATTTGTTTAATGAAGTAGGGACTGCAGGCACTTACCTTCTGTAAATCGATAAATACTGTCAATGCAAGCCTAGTACAAAAAGGATTTATTGAAAAGTGCATGTTTTCACAGACCAACATCAGAAGCACAGTCCATGTACACTTAACATTTCAGCAAGACATACAAATGGGAATACAATCAAATATATTAAAATAGTTTCAATTACCAGCATTGAAACGGTTTTCGGTATTAGTGCAAAAAAGGCAACCCAAACAAACTGCGGACAGTAGCTGAGAAGTGTTTTCCCTCGTTTTTAAAAAAAAAAAAACAAAAACCAAAAAAAAAAACAAAACACAAATGAACAACTGGAGCCAGCCTCTGCTCTCCCTGTGCGGAAGAGGGCTCCGGTGTCTTCACGCTGTGGACAGATGTTTCCTTTTACATTCAAAACAAGAACATAATGAATAAATCAAAGGCACAAAACAAACCTACACACCCTTTAGCTTTTAAAGCTCTTAAAACCACAGACCAACAGATCTTTTTATCAGAAGTCCGCTGCGAAGTGAAAGCCTCTGGCAGCACGTGCTTTGGCATCATCTCAGTGCGTTTCATTTTGGGCAGATCCGCTACTGCTGCGTGCTTAGTTTCGTATGTTCACCCTGTGACTGGTAGCTCGTTCTGTTTGTTTTGAGGCCGTACTGATTCAGCTTTGCATTCTCGAGTTTTGGCTTCAGTTCTAAGGGTTTTTCAAAGAAGTTAACTAACGACTGTTCGGTCAGGAGGGATGCTAAAATATGTTCAAAAGAGACAGTCCAGTCGCCTCCAGTCACGGGTGACGGCTGCGAATCTTTGTGAGGGGCCTTCACAGTGTCCGTAAAAACAGCGTCCTGGTCCGAAGCAGAGGCCTCGGGCTGCAGGTCCTCGCTGAACTCGTCCGACCCGCTCCCCAGGCTGATGCTTCTTTGTCCTACTTCCCCTATCTGCAGCAACAGCGTGGTCACGGTGGCGATGGCTTGATACAAATCGTTCTCCTCCGGATCTTCGTGAAACATGCTGTACAAGGTTTTGCAGAACTGAATGAATTCCCTCTGCAAAGGATGAAAAGCCAAAATCAGCGACAGCTGAACAGCCGTGCCGCGGGTAGCTGTCGGAGTCGGGCGAGGGCACGGTACTGCAAAGGAAGGTGGGATGCTGGGTACGGACGCGGATCGGTTCTAACTTCTGCCTGCATTTTTAAAAAAACGTTAGCGAAGGGATTTCAACTCCCACTGATGCGAGGAAACCTTGGTGCCACACATCAAAACAGGGAACAGAGCAGTGGAGTATTTTTGCTGCCTTGATGAAGGAGATGAGGACCTCGCAGAGAGCCACAGGGCAAAGTGAGATATAACGCAAGGGACACAACCCGTTACTGGTGGGCAGCGGGTGGCTGGTACACAAGCATGGCTTGCAACCCAAAGCAGCCATCATCCACAGGCTTTGCAGGAGGCCGCCTTTCTCCGGTTTCTG